AAAAAAAAAAAAAAAAAAAAAAACACATCATAGTAAAATTAATACCTTCTCCGCTTCGCATCGAAGCTAAAATATGGTATACAACAATTAAATATGATTTTTTTTTAGCTTCAATGCGAATCTGAGAAGGTATTAATTTTACCATGATGTTTTTTTTTATATCTGTTACCACTTTTTCTCAGTTCTCACTGGACTAATTTCTTTCAACAATACGTCAAAAGATCACAAATCGTATCTAGTTGAAGACATTATCCTTAAAAATTGAAAAATTTTCCCTCGTTCATCGCAAATGGGGGAAATATCCCAAAATAATTACAAATTTAAAAATCGATAAATTTTGTCATTTTTTTTTTTAAAACTTCCATAACTTTTTGAAAAATAAAAAAATCAACATAATTTTATTTTATACTAAAACCTTAAATATTTTCCTGGGATTTTATTGGGGGGATTTAAAATAGCAACTTTTTTACAAAAACTAACTTTTTCAACTTAACTTTTGAAAATGTTCCGGAAATACTGCGTCCTTTAAACATATTTCAAATTAAAGCTTAGGTCATGTACTATAAAATTTAAAAAAAAAAATTGTCCCGACGACCTATCTTCTATGCGCAAATGGCTACCGTATTCAAAAATATACTATTTTTGTGTTAAAATCCTGGGTTTTGTATTTTATTTTATCTTAAAATATCTTATAAGGGCAATACACTGACTTTCATGAATATTTTATAATTTAATTGACATAGAATAAAGTTCATAAGACATAAGAAATTAAACTTATTAAATTTTTTTTTACTTTTTTAAAGTCGAAAAAGTAAGTTTTAAATTTGAATTAGTTTAAATTGCTAATTTTATCACGCGACGAAAGCGACGAACAATTGCCGAATCGGTAACTTAGTTTTCGGTATTTTTGTGGGTACGATTTATTTTGCCAACCCTCACTAGACCTACTATTTCAACGATACATCAAATGATTACAATTTGTATTTAGTTTAAGTAATTACTCTTAAAAATCGAAAAAATATTCCTTATTCAAATAAAAAGTAGCTTAACCAGCTTTTTCCATACAAACAATTAAAATCATTAATTTCTAATATTCTTAAAGTATTTATTGTCGAATTAGATTTGATATGATAAAAGTATTCAACTACAAAAGTATATAATTTTACTTTGTAATTTATTAATTTTTTAACTCTATTTGTATGTGCTACTACCAGTCTATAATATTCCAAATTTTTTTGTAATATGTTGCTATATAAATCATAAATTTAAAAAAAAAATGATTTTTAGTTTCACCTGAAGTTAACGATGGAGTTTTACAATTATAATCAAATTTTATAATACGCTCAATTGAGTAAATGTTTTTACAAATTTGTTTTGATTGGTTCATTTAGTTAAAGTAAATCATTAAAATTAATTAAGTTCTAAATATTTCAATTGCAGAATCTTTTTAAAGACCAAAAGTTATTAGGAAATGATTACTATTATTTCTATTTCAGTTATCTATTACGATAAAAATGCAAAAAAATCGAATTTTTCTGATAAATGTACTGTAAATAGTAATTATAAAATTTCCTGATTGCATATTAATCTTAAAAATTTCATTTTTTTCTATTTAATTATGTCAATTTCAAACTTGCAAGTTTAACTATAAGTAATTGTAACAAATTCATTTTTTTTTTATTAAAACTTTCACTTTAAAGGACAAAAAAAAGTAGGTTCAAAATGATTACTTTTAACATATTAAAAATCAATATCAATAATAATTTGAAAACAATTAATTTTAAAAATTATATAATATATAATTAAAAGAATTACTAATCTGGGTATAATTAAGGAAATAGAAGTTGATGTTGCTTTTGTAATTATCCATCAAATTCTTAGAATAATGATAGAAATAGGAATTAATTTTGCTTTAAAAATAATCAACCAATTTCTTGAATATAAAGATTAACTACAGATTTGCATCGAAGCGTTTCTTATGATAGTGATTTTAATCACTGTCAGATTAAATCTACACTGGACCCAACTATGCAACGTCCCCAATATGCCACGACCGCACTGTACTGGGTTTTTTTATTGTTTTTATAAAATTATTTTTATTCTTTTAATTGATTTAAAACTTTATTTTATATTAAACCTGTAACGTATTCTTAAGATGTGAAATGATTATTAACAGCACTCATTCATCTAAGGTAACTGAAACAATCTTCCAGGACATCCTGGTCTGTATTTCACCACTGCATATAATTCATTTACATCAGAAAATTAATATCCCAATGAACTACTATTTAAACGGATTCTTTTTAACACGCTTATTTAGAATGGCATTAGTACATTTCTACTATATTGGTGATCTGTAGCACTTAAGAATTTAACAGATCAAACTATACAACAATGATAATAAATGTGTCCGACACCTAAACAAACATATCAGGTAAACACGCATATTTTTTAGTATCTTGAAACTTCCCAACTAGAAGTTCTAATGTAATTTTTTCCAATGTTTAAAATAGCTGTTGNTCTTGAAACTTCCCAACTAGAAGTTCTAATGTAATTTTTTCCAATGTTTAAAATAGCTGTTGCGATTGACCTAAAAAAAAAGTCTTAAAAATCGATAATTTCGCAGCTCAATAAATCCATTTGTTACCTGTTACTATCAATGAGCGTAGTAGGGACATTTGTTCAGCTGTTACGCGTCATAATCTACGAAACCTTTTATTTTTTATCATTATTGAATACTCAAAAAAAAACTTATTAATTTTTTAAAAGCATTAATATTTTTGACAATGGGAGTTCACGGTGATGGGGTCACCGATTTTCATAAAATTTATATAAATTTAATTTATATTAAATACAAAATAAGAGGTATTTTGAATTTTTTGTTATTGCCCCCAGTCAAGAAAATTAACTTTAAAAATTTTTAATTAGCTTAAATAAAGTCATTTCTCTTCACACATAGTAACCTGATATAGTCGAATTGAGAATATGTGATCCTATGACGTGTACGGATTAATCCCCTTCAGATAGTGGATTTTTTAACACGTTTATATTAGTTTCTGTTGACACTAGGGTTCTTTTCTTATAGCAGTTGACCCCTGTTTGTCTTTTACCCAGAAACTTTACTTAATTATAACCTACAAAATATACAACACAGATATATATATACATTAAACATTTATTGATACAGCTCACAAGATATGGGGGGTGACAATGTTACGCCGCATTCAATGACCTCCTCCTTATAGTAGTTCTTGTTATTACTTAGTTTTGATGGTCTTGTTCTTCTGATAGGCCTGACTACATCAATCTTCTTGGATCCAGTCCAACTGGAGAATTTACATATATTCTTATTCCGACAGTATGACCACCTTGTCATTCAGGATTACGTGGAGATCTTATATGTACCACGCAAAGGAAAAGACCATCCTTTCCAATTCACTTGTTTTCCAAACAAAAACCAGGTACATCTCGCACTAGAATGGCCGCACACACTTTCAAAACTATTTGTAATATCCTATCAGCATATTGGCGATGATAACACTTACAGTATGGCCAACGTTTCTCTTTAATGCGCGAACATCCTCCCCCCGTCACTAGGGTTGTTCCTTGAGACCAAAATCTTAGTGGTAGCGAAACACGGAAGAAGCTCTGCACAATTCGGTCATTGAAGTAAGGCTTGAAGGGGTTTAGTTTCTATAAACTAAGAGAATACATATTACAAACATTTAAATCATTACATTACAATAATAAAACAAAAGATTCAATGATACAAAAATTAATAAAAATTGAGATCCCAAATTTCTAGAGCACAATATCACATCATTTTAAACATCAAATTATTTTAATAGGAACATATTTTTTACCTTTATCACAGTATTCAATTAACCTTAAATTAAATAAAACATATCTAAATGTATAATAAAATATAAACTATTTGATTCAATATCAAATTATTATTATTTCATCAAAATATACAAAAATAAAACGGTAGCACAGTGGGGTCGCGGCATAGTGGAGATATTGCATAGTTGGGTCCAGATAGATTTAATCTGACAGTGATTAAAATCACTATCATAAGAAACGCTTCGATGCAAATCTGTAGATAGTGTTTAATTTTAAAAAATTGATGGATAATTGCAAAATTAACATCAACTTCTATTAAAATAAAATACAAAACCCATAATTTGAATACAAAAATAGCATATTTTTGAATACGGCAGCCATTTGCGTATAAAAGATAGGTCGTCGGGACAAATTTTTTTTTTTCATTTTGTAGTACATAAAATAAGCTTTAATTTTATATATGTTTGAAGGACGCAGTATTTCCGGAACATTTTCAAAAATTAAGTTGAAAAAGTTCATTTTTGTAAAAAAGTTACTATTTTAAATCCCCCCAGTGAACAGAATAAGTGTTAGATTTTCAAAAAAAATTATATCAAATGAAAGGGAAATATCTAAGGTTTCAATACAAGAAAATATTATTTTTATTTGTTAATTTTTGAAAAAGTTATGACAGTTTTAAGCACAAAAAACATTCCGATAAAAGGTAATATTTATCGCAAACATTACATTTTTTTTTAATTTTCGACAGCCATTTGCACATAGAAGATAGATCGTCGGGACAAATTTTTTTTTTTTATTTTATAGTACATATAATAAGCTTTAATTTTATATATGTTTAAAGGACGCAGTATTTCCGGAACACTTTCAAAAGTTAAGTTGAAAAAGTTCTATATTTTTTACAATATTTCAACATTTGAACGCGTCCTATATAAGGGGAAATTGTCCAATTTTAATAAAAAGTATGTCAAATGAAAGATGTACTTATAATGTATTTAGAAAACAAAAATTGTGCTGATATATACATTTTTCAAAAAGTTATAGCATTTTTAAGTTGAAAATTAAAAATCGAAAATCGAAAATTTTAACACAAAAATAGTGTTTTTTTAACTACGGCAGCCGTTTAAATGTAGAAAAAAAAGTGTCGGGACAAATTTTTTTTTTTCATTTTATAGTACATAAAATAAGCTTTAATTTGATATATGTTTAAAGGACGCAGTATTTCCGGAACATTTTCAAAAATTAAGTTGAAAAAGTTAATTTTTGTAAAAAAGTTGCTATTTTAAATCCCCCCTAATGAGCAGGTTAAGTGATAGATTTTCAAAAAAATGATATCAAATGAAAGGTAAATGTCTAAGGTTTTAGTATAAAAAAAAATTATGTTGATTTGTTGATTTTTCAAAAAGTTATGGAAGTTTTAAGAAAAAAAAGTGAAAAAATTTCGAAAATTAGCGATTTTTAAATTTGTAATTTTTTTGGATATTTCCCCCATTT